CTGAGAGGGAAGCTTGATTTTTCTGTGCTTTTGGGAAACCTCCTGCATAGGGCAGGAGACCTAGGTTGCGTACGCGAAATCCACGCCCTAGGACCTCAAGGGCTCTGAGGCCTCGCCCACTTTAGTGTTACATGTTGCTCTAGACCTTGTGGGCTTGCCAGCGCAGCCTCTTTTCTTCCTCCTCCTCGCCTGTCCTCTTGACTGCTCTTGTGCCCCGCTTGTTCCCTCTCCTCCTGGCCCGCCTCGGCCTGGGATACCATGCTAGACAGCTAGCCGTTCACTCTCTGCTTGCCCCGCTGCGCTGACCGCAGCCGATGTGTGTCAAGCCTGTTCGTCAGAGGTTTAGAGGCCAGCTCAAACCTCGCTGGGGCGAGGTGCATACACGTGTAGGTCTCTGGCGGATTGTGCGAATCGCTGGTGTTCGGAAAAGTTGCTCCAGTCCCTGGTGAAGTCCCTCACGAGGCCTACAGGTCCAGCTTTCGTTCACTTACGTGCTCATCACAAGTGTGTGTTCGGGGAGGTTGGATCGTCCACCACATTGGCGACGTGCACCACACCCCGACACGATCTCCATATACGTTCATACCCTTCATATATTTCAAGATCTTGTGACATCCAGTTTCATTTCAGATTGTGGCTTTGCAAACCTTCATGTCATTCAAGATCTTGTGACACCCAGTGGAATTTCAGACTGTGGCTTCGAAGTCTTCATATCAGTAAAGAACTTGTGACATCCAGTTGTTTTCAGATTGTGGCTTTGAAAGATAGCGATGGCAGATAGTTTCTTCTTGGAGCGCGATTTGCTCCTTCTAGTCGGTAGCTGCATGACTTCCGACTCCCGATGGCTACCCCAAGTGTCAGCGATCTCGGCAGCCCCGTGGGCTGCACACCGTCAGCACAACCAGGTCTCGAAGGCCCTCTACTACACTCACATGGAGATTATGGCGGCTCACGAGGCCTTCCAGGCAACCGATGCATATGCTCAGGCATTTCACAATTGGTTGCGAGTCAAGGTCATTGGCTTGGTCAGTAGTGGTGATGCTCACTCTTGGTACGACAGCTCAGCCATATGACGTTCGCTTGCCCTCAGCCTTCGGTGCTATTGTTGTGACACTACTCCTTCGACAGAAGATCCGAGTCGCTCCTTCGACCAGCCGCCAAGCCGGCTGGAAGATGATAGCTGTTATGTTTTTCTGCTTGCCTGTGCCAGTAAAAGGGTTCATATCAGACATATAATGACGAGTTTCCCCGCCGCTACCTGCTCCTTCGACACGTGCCCCCTGAAGGCCCCGCGCTTCTCCCTTCACTAATCAAGGAACTTCGACTGCTGACTTCTTGGGCTTCTGCGCTCTCGATTTACTCGGACTTCTTGGGCAATATAATATACCGTACGCTGACACCCTTGCTATGCTGTTCGTTGCTACGCTCTGGCAATGCTTGGAGACACAACCCTCTCTGTACTTTGTGACGGCTCTGCACAAAATTCAAACTGAGGTGCTTTCGAGGATAGCAGCCCCAGGTACTAGCTCCTATGTCTCGGTATTCGCGACGGGAATTACTTGCTGTGTCTCTTTGTGCCGTGCTCGTGTACTTGCCATCGGTGGGAAGAAGAGCCGCCATCGATGTTCCCGACTCCTGCACAGTTTTCCTCCACGCTGGCAGAGTGCGATATGTCACCGTGGACAAGCATCGTTGATTGAGTCAGCGGAGCTCTTCCGCTTTGTCCTTCTACAGATACGTTGTGTTCTCGGAACAGGCTTTCGCTCCTCCGACGCGCTCCCCACATCCGACTCCAGCTTTGTATGCCAGCTTGGATCGGACTGCTTATGCATCGGTCAAGGGACCCTCAGCCGCGGGACGTCTGGGTATTCTGGTGGTGTTGGGCGGTTTCGGGAGCACCTACGAGGCCTTCGTTGCGCTGCCCTGGGAACCCCCACCAAGGAGAGAAGCAGCTACCTCCAGCTGCCCCCTGGGCGCTCGACCTGGACCCTCCTCTTCTTCCTGACCTTGGTCCCAACATCCACCATTCATGCTGTGGAAAGTGCCCACATAGCTTACACCAGACCGACCGCGAACAATCTTCCGAATCCACACCTTGGGCGTCTTCGGGCATGGTATCGTACCCACCCGCGGGCTCGTCGACGACGGAAGGGAAAGCGATCTGGGCTTTGTGTCGGGCTGATGGAAACCACATTGCATCAAGAATGGTACGAGAAACGAATGCAACGCCTCAGCATTCAGTCTCTTGGGTTCTCTCGGTATCTGGCCACGCGACATCGGTGGCAACATGTATTACAACAGCCCTACGGTACTTTGTACGATCTGTGTTTGCAGCGACACTGTATGGCTGGCAAGGGGCACGGCCCCTTGCACGTTGCAGGTCCTGGCAGCAGTGTTCTGATGATGAAGTGGGCTTCAACCGACGCTCGTGGCATGCCGTGGCCATTAGTGTATAGAGCTCGGCCCCACGGGAGTGATTTCTTGTACACTATATGGGAATTCTCAGCTCTGTATCCATTCTGGATGAATCGTGTGCGTGTACGCTCTTCCTTCAAGGATCATCTCCATTCTCTACATCTCCCAACTCCAGCTTGCTCCATTGTGCGGGTATCCTGTGCCGCCGGGGTAGGCAGCGTTCGCCGCTGGCCTGCACGTACTGTACAACAGGCGCGGCCTTCGCGCCCAGCATGGGCCTCTTGGGCTGCCAAGGCTACCAAAATTATAGTTCAGCCCATCCCCGCCATACGACGACGGTTTTGCAATATTGCCAGAGTATTTCGGGAACAACATTTCCAGTCTTTGGTGGATTTGACTCTTCAGGATTTCGATTGCGCTGCCCGTGGTGGTGATATGGAAAGGATCCCTATGAATGCCCGTATTCCATTGGCGAGCCCCGTCCTTCCCGACAATCAGAAAGCCGAAACCCTGAAATCCTGCCCGCGGTGGCTTGGCCCCATGGGACTTGATAATAAAGTTCACCCACCCTACCGACCCCAACGACACGCCACTTCCGACTTCCCACCGACTTCTCGTGGCGCCCGCAGGTATCAGGCCCTCGATGAGGCCCGTCTCGGTTTTGAGACTCGGGCCTCAGAGGTCCCCGACGGAGTGTGCTTTACGGTTGAGGACGAGGATCCCAACACATTGTGGATGGTGAATGGGATGCTCCATCTTGCGCGCTGGTTGTGTATGCTCGCTCGAGCCCCCACGCGTTGGCGCGTGGTGGACTCTTCTCAGTCTGCAGTGGTCTCGTGGTATCGATTGCTCCATGGCTACACTATTCCGAAGCCCATGCGGGCCAAAGGAGAGGGACCACTCAATGCTCGACACACCCCTTATATTTATCCAACTGAAGCTAAAATGTTGGAGCGGGGACCCCGCTCCCCCACCAGAAGGCCGCCATACTTGTGCGAACCACAACACAGCTGTTTTAGGAATATATGTAGCTTCGCTCGGCTACCTTCGCGGGGGCTTTATCGATCCTTGGGCCGATCGCTGACATTCATTTCAAACCGAATGAACCCTGGTTGGGCCTTCTCCTCGCTCGACAGCGCGGTGCCGAACACCATCGATCAGTTTCACTACCTTGCCTCGCCTCCGCAGGGCGTCCCATGCACGTGCAGGGGATGCGGTCGGCCTCTTACCTGCCCAGGTGTCGTTGAGGGCGACGCTGGGCAAGCTTACGAGGCCACCGAGGTAGAGCGAATCAACTCCTGCTTGGATCGCCTTTTCGCCAAGCTCGACTCGAGCGAAAATGAAGGTCGAAAACGTTGCGCCGCGGTGATGCGGACTCAGAGGTCCCACGTGTTCTTCGGGGGCCACACTAATCAGCGTCTCTGGGATAGGACGATATGGTTGCCCAGTAGTATACGGAGGGCCCTAGAAGGCTTCTTGGGAATGCGATTGTTCTTGGTGGCTGGTCTTGTGATTCAACAACTCTGTGGCATAACCATTGGTGGCCCCCTGAGCGGGGCCGTGTTACATACTGTACTTAGTGATTCGGAATTTGCAACAATACCCAGGTAGGCGAAGCTCCATTATGACGGGGCGATATGTAGATGACATTATCCTGGCCTCAAAACTGCGTTGCTGTGCCTGCCTTAAACGATTGGTTCGGACGGTCTATGGATCGACGGTGAAGTTTGATTTCACCGACCCCATGCCCATCTTTCCCACAACGGTAATGGTTCCGTATTTGGAGACCACACTATACTTTACCACGTGTCGGGCTACCCACTGGACAATTCATAAGAATGAGGCTTTCGCCTTCACGGGGGATTTGGGACGTCTCGCGAAGCAGTCTGTGGTTCCTTACTTGGGACGGTCCCCTCCAACACTCCTGAAACAACATCGGGCTGAGTTGCGTGGCCGTCTGAAACGGTGGCAGAATCTGCGAGTGTGTGATATTAATTGGATGGTTCTCGTATGTAGCGATGTTCTCATGTATCTCCTGGGTTACAGTTCCCAACTTATCAATCGGGTTTGGAAACGGATTCTCCCATCCTCTCCACGGATGGACATATGTATGACGGCTATCCGCCTTGTGCTTATGACCTCCCACTACCTACGTGCCCCACCCAGTACTGTGGCAGCCTCTTTCTCTCAGAGTCTCTCTACGTCTTCGCCCGACCGCCCCGCGGACCCTTGTTCCCAGACAACTCGCTCCGACCAGATGTTCTCTTCCTGGCGCAAGGGTGGCGGCAAGGGCCAAGGCCGGCAGAGCCGCCAGCATGGTGGGTCACGCGCCCCGCGGTATCAGCAGTGGGGAAAGGGTGGCCCCCACAATTTCGGTGGCAACATGAGCGGTGGCTTCTCCAGCACGCTTGGCCAGATGACGTCGGTCATGGACAACATTGCGGCCCTGGGGGAGCGCACGCGCGTGGGAACGGCTCTGGCTGAGACTCAGCAGTAGCCGAACGCCCCGCCCCCAGTGGCCACCCCTCCTGGGCCCCATGGAGGCAGCCAGGTTACAGGGGCCCCGAGCTCAACCACCGCGGCAGGAGCTGAGCCCGCCCGTGAGCTCGTGGGTGCCATTACGGACGTGCTTCGGTCCAGTGCTCCTGGCGACACCCGACTCCAGCAGACGGTCAGCCGCCTTCGCGACCTCGTCGGCAGCCCGATTCAGCCAGCAGGTTCGACCACCTCTGGCACCACTGCAGGTTCGGCAACCCAGAACAACGCGCTGGCGTCGAACCCGATCATCGTGCAGCTGCAGTCCAACATGGCGACCCTTCAGAGTACGGTGGAGACCCGCGGCCAGCAGATCAGCACTATCAACGCCACTTTGGCTGGTGCGGCGGAGGACTCCCGCGCGACGCGCCAGATGATGGAGCGGATGATTGCCTTGCAGCAACCGGCACCACCAAGCGAATCGGCCGCCGTCACCCCGCAAAGGACCCCGACGTCTACTCCTGTGGTTACGCCATCGCCCGTGTCCCCTGCTGGCCCAGGAGCGGACGGCGCAGGAGTGCTTCAGAGGTCCACGCTCATGGTACCCCAGATGGCTGTGACGGGTCACGACCATGCGATCAACATCTTGGGAGTTGGGTCCCAGCGTCAGAACGTGGTTCAATTATCCCAGGAGATCAGCATTTCTACTGGCTCTACAATGCCGTACAGCGCTTGGTGGGCCCAGATTTCACGATGCAAAGGACTGGCTCAGTGGCAGACAAAGCTTCAGACGCTGGGAGCCCCTCCCGCCGAGGCGCAGGCGGCCTCCAGCTTCTCCAAGGTCGGCCAGCTGCTCTACTCCCGCATCCAATATGACGGGTCCTGGAGCGCCGCCGACTTACAGACCATCACGCTTCAATGAGCGACTTCGGCGGCGCTCAATACACTTACTGAACCTGTGACATCTGAAACGGTATGGTGGATGCTACGCGTCTGCGGCTTGCTGCTCCCAGTTGTGATGTTTCTCTGGACTACGTGCCAACTAGGCTTGTTCGTGGGTTTCGCTCGTGTGTCGGCGGAGGGCCTCCTGACATTTGCGATTCAACGAACATTTGCAATCCTACCTGTGGTGGCCCTCCGCGTGGTCTTCTCACACCTCCTACCTGATGCTACATGGTGGCTTCAGTATCTTTCAGGCGCTGCGGTGCCGACCTCATTCCCAGATGTTCACGATTCTGCCTCGGATTTGCTCAAGTCACATGCTACGGTCGGGGAATCTTGGGCCTGGCTGGCGGCGGTCAGTCAGCCCCTGCTCGTGGGACTGTGCGCGTATCTTGGCCACTAAGAAGAGCCAGAAGATCGGTTCAGATCCCAGCTGTATCAGTGACGGATTACATCATTCCATTGTGAACCTGAGAAGTTTGCTGCCGAGTTCTGTTCTGTATTCTGCTCTCCCACCCCTGTTCTAATGGACGGGATGTGTGTGTGTGTGAGTGTGCTTCTTGATTTTCAGCTTCCAAGATTGCCCTCAGTTATTTGAGGCCTAAGAAGCCACATGCCACACATACCGTTCCTATACACCCTCAGTTTATATACGCGTCTGAGAGAGAAGCTTGACGTTTTCTGTGCTTTTGGGAAACCTCCTGCATAGAGCAGGAGACCTAGGCTGCGTACGGGAAATCCACGCCCTAGGACCTCAAGGGCTCTAAGGCCTCGCCCACTTTAGTGTTACATGTTGCTCTAGACCTTTTGGGCTTGCCGGCGCAGCCTCTTTTCTTCCTCCTCCTCGCCTGTCCTCTTGGCTGCTCTTGTGCCCCGCTTGCTCCCCCTCCTCCTGGCCCGCCTCGGCCTGGGATACCATGCCAGACAGCTAGCCGTTCACTCTCTGCTTGCCCCGCTGCGCTGACCGCAGCCGATTTGTGTCAAGCCTGTTCGTCAGAGGTTTAGAGGCCAGCTCAAACCTCGCTGGGGCGAGGTGCATGCACGTGTAGGTCTCTGGCGGATTGTGCGAATCGCTGGTGTTCGGACAAGTTGCTCCAGTCCCTGGTGAAGTCCCTCACGAGGCCTACAGGTCCAGCTTTCGTTCACTTACGTGCTCATCACAAGTGTGTGTGTGTGCGTGTGTGTGCGTGTTTGTGCGTCTGTGTGTGTATGTTTTTTGAATGTGGTTGTGTATGTGTATGTGTATGTGGGCGCGCATGCGTGCGTGCGTGCGCGTGTCGTCGTAGTCGCCCCCTCTCCCTCTCCCTTCCCTCGCCTCATCTCCCTCCTGTTGCTGCTGCTGCTTTCCCTCTCTCCCTCCACCTGCTCATATCTGTTCCTCCCACTCTCTTTGCCCATATTGCTGTTCTCCCTCTCTCCCTCCCCCTCTCCCTCTCTCCTGCTGCTCCTGGTTCTCCCCCTCTCCCCCCTGCTGCTGCTGCTGCTGCTGCTTCTGCTGCTGTTGCTTCTGCTGCTGCTGCTCCTCTCCCATCCCCCTCACCCTCTGATGATGGCGGCGATGACGCTGACGATGCTGTTGATGATGATCCTGATGATGATGATGACGACGACGACGATGCTGCACACGACGAGGATGACGATGATGAGGATGATGTTGGTGATGAGGCCGATTATGATTTTGATGGTGCTGATAGTGATGACGATGATGTTGATGACGATGACGACGGCGATCGATGAAGATGGTGAAGATGCTGACGGTGCTGCTGCTGATGATGGCGGCACTGACGACGACGATGACGATGACGACGTCGACGTCGATGGCGATCACGATGACGATGACGATGACAATGATGATGATGGTGATGATGATGATGATGATGATGATGGTGATGATGAGGATGAGGATGAGGATGAGGATGAGGATGAGGAGGAGGATGGGGATGATGATGATGATGATGATGATGATGATGATGATGATGATGACGATGGTGATGATGATGATAATGATGATGATGATGATGATGATGATGATGATGATGATGATGATGATGATGATGATGATGATGATGATGATGATGATGATGATGATGATGATGATGATCATGGGATCTCCAGATCCACCTTTGAGCTTTCATCGAATATTTTGTGTTTTGTTTGTAGATCGTAGCGTTTCTCAGAGGTCTAATCGGGGTTGCCTGGGAGCCTTTTTCAGGATCTCCTGGTCTAGCCGGGGCTTTGCCAGTGCCCGTGGGGGGGGCCCACGGTGCGGACCAAATTTGGTCCGCGCGGGCTCGGCCGGGGCCCGTGGGGGGGCACACGGTGCGAACCAAATTTGGACCGTGCCGGCTCGGCCAGGGCCCCGCGGGGGGGCCCACGGTGCGAACCAAATTTGGTCCGCGCGGGTTCGGCCAGGGACCCGTTGGGGGGCCCACGGTGCGGACCAAATTTGGTCCGCGCGGGCTCGGGCAGGGCACCGTGGGGGGCCCACGGTGCGGACCAAATTTGGTCTGCGCAGGCTCGACCAGGGCCCCGTGAGGGTCCCACCGTGCGGACCAAACTTGTCTGCGCGGGCTCGGCCAGGGCCCGTGGGAGGTCCTACCGTGTGGACCAAATTTGGTTCGCGCAGGTTTGGGCAGGTCCCGTGGGGGGCCCAACCGTGCGGACCAAATTTGGTCCGCGCGGGCTTGGCCAGGGCTCAAATTTGGCGCGCGCGGGCGGAGCGCTCTTGGGGCGCTCTTGGGGCCGTCTTTGGGCTCTCTTGGGCCTCTCTTGTGGCTCTCTTGGGCCATCTTGGAGCTATCTTGAGGCCCTATCTTGAGCCATCTCGGAGGCCATCTTGGGCTCTCCGAGGCGCTCTTGGAGCCGTCTTGGGCCATCTTGAGGCGTTCTTGAGGAGTTTTTGGAACAAGCATTAGCTTTTTTGATTGTATTTCGGACTGCCAGGGAGCTCTTCGAAAGCATGTTTACCAGGACTCGAAAACGTCAGTTTTTTTTCAACGCATGTTTCATACACTCTCAAAAAGGGGGATCCCCCCCCCTTTGAGCGTTGATCAAATGGGAATTGTTTGTTGGTAGTTTTTAGCGTTTTTCGGAGGTCTCCTTGGGGCTGCCTGGGAGCCTTTTTGAAGATCCCCTGAACCTTTCTGGGGGGCTGCTGGGGGCATCCGCGAGCCTCTTGGTCGCCTTTTTGGGGCTCGGAGGCACGCTCGGGCGCCACGCTGGATGGGAGGACCGAGTTTTAGTCCGAGCCTCACATGTGTTGGCCGTCTTGGAAGCGTCTTGGGCCGTTCTTGGCGGCCAGGGGGACTTCTTCAGGAGTTCTTGAGGAGTTGTTGGAACAACCCTTAGCTTTTTTTGATTGCATTGCGGACCGCCGGGGAGCTCTTCGAAAGCATGTTTACCAGGACTCAAAACGTCAGTTGTTCATCGCATTTTTCACATAAGGGGGATCCCGAGATCCCTCCTTTGAGCGTTGATTGCATATGTATTGTTGTTTGGTAATTTTTACCGTTTTTCGGAGGTCTCCTTGGGGCTGCATGGGAGCCTTCTTGAGGATCCCCTGAAGCCTTTCTGGGGGGCTGCTGGGGGCATCCGCGAGCCTCTTGGTCGCTTTTTCGGGGCTCGGAGGCACGCTCGGGCGCCATGCTGGATGGGAGGACCGAGTCGTAGTCCGAAACTCATATGTTTTGGCCGTCTTGGAAGCTTCGTGGGCCATTCTTGACGACCGGGGGGGGCTTCCGAATTTCTGAATTTCTGAGAATCAAACAAACTCCAGGTCCAGCGGCGAATTTCCTAATTTCTGAATGTCTGAATGTCTGAGAATCAGAAAATTCAGAGGCCCAGAGGCGAATTTCAGAATTTCTGAATTTCTGAGAATCAGAAAATTCAGAGGTCCAGGGGCGAATCTCCGAAATTCCGAATTCTCGAACTTCTGAGAAGCAGAAAGATCCCAAAGCTCAACTTCCCGACTTTCCAGGGAGTCTGCAGGGATTGTTATCGGACAGTCTGGTCATTCGGGAACCGCTTTCTTCTGGGAGTGGTTGAAACTGTCTCCTTTTGGTAGTAGTTGACAATGCGTTCTTTTGGAACATCGTGGGCCCGTTCTTCTTTTGGTGGTTTAGCTCCACACCGCGAGGGCTGAACGCGCCGCGGCTAGCATGCGTCGCCCGCCTGCTTCCGCCACCATCCACCTCGTTGTTCCGCCCCTGCAGAGATGCGCTTGCGCGACGCGTGGAAAGCCGAATGATTTTCCGTGCGAACTCGTCTGGACATCGAAAAACCTTGCTGATTTGATGAATTTACGGTTTCCTAGACTTCTCTTGGGAACGTTTCGTTCCGCGCTGGGCGCCGCGATAAAACAATATTGTTGTTTTTTTGTCATGTGGTTGTTTGATGATTTGGGCGAGTTCGCAAAGGGAAAAGCACGCGTTTCCTGTGGGCGCCACTCGTCGTGGTCGCGCCTGTTCCTCTGGAGTCCAGGAGGGGGCTCGCCAGGATGCGCGGCCCGGTTGGAATGGCATGTGCGCTTTGGTGTCCGGGCGGCCCTCCGCTCATGTAGGTTCGAGATTCCGAGGCGACGTTCGACACTGGGTCTCCCTCACCCCGCCTCGCTCACTTGGCATCGCTGGCGCCATGGAGGCAGTCCACGCCACGAACACGCAGTGTGAAATCCCGAATGTTTCCCCGTGCGCCCCCTCTCCCTCCCCCTGCTGCTCTTCTCCCCCTCTCCTTCCCCCTGCTGCTCTTCCCCCACTCTCCCTCCCCAACTCCCTCCCTCCTGCTGCTGTTCCTCCTCCCCCTCTCCCTCCACGTGCTGCTGCTGCTGCTGCTGCTCCTCCCCCTATCCCACCCCTCGAATGATGATAACGATGCTGCTTACGATGTTGCTGATAATGCTCATGCTGGTCGCGATGACGACGACGATGCTAACGACGACGGCAATGATGCGAATGGTGATGTGATGATGATGATGGTGCCGAT